GGGAGCTATCGGCGTTGGGGGGGGGGGGCAGGAAAGAGTGGCATCTGTAATAATCTCAACAATAAAGATTTAAAAAATTAAAGATGGAACTGCCATTTGAGCCAATAATCCTACTTCTAGTAATATATCCCAGGAAAACAGAAACACCAATCAGAAAGGATATATGCACTTCTATGTTCATAGCACCACAATTTATAATAGCTAAGATTTGGAAATGGCCTAAGTGTCCATGAACAGATGTGTGGATTAGAAAATTGTGGTACATCTACACAATGGAATGTTATGCTGCCATACAAAAATGATTTTTTACCATTTGCAGCAGCATGAATGGAACTGGAGTGAATTATGCTAAGTGAAATGATCCTTTCAGAGAAAGATAAATATCACGTGATCTCACTCACTTGTGGAATATAATTAATAACAAATTGATGAAAAAAATATAACCAGAGTCATAAAAGCATCAAACAGACTGTCCAACCTAGGAGGAAAGGTGGGGGTGAGGTGGAAAAGAGATCAACAAAGAACTTGTGTGCATGCATGTAAGCATAACCAATGGATGCAGATGGGTGGGTGAAGGTATGAGGGACAGGCGGGGAGAGGTCAAGGGAGGAAAAGGAGACTTATGTAAGACTTTAAAGAATAAAGAATTTAGTTTTTCAAAAATTAAACTGAATATGAGCAGTCTACAAAATAAGAGCACAAAACCATGGTCATAAGGATATTCAATGAACACAAGAAAAGCATGGATAAATACAGTAGACCTTTAAAATAGGTAGAATATATATAAAAATCAGAACTGAAGAATACACTATTTTAAAGAAAAATACACTAGAAGGAATCAACAGCAGATTAGATAATGCAGACAAATGGATCATAGACGACAAGAAGGTGAAAGTTATCTAATTGAAATAGTAAATTTCTTTTTTAACTTTTAATGAGGAGAGATAAACCATGATATTGGCATAAATAAACACCTAAAATGTTGCTTCGCACAACAATTTCAAAACTACAACTAAAAGACCAAACGGATATCATTCAGAACCACAGGAAGACTAGCTGAGTGGAAATTCTATAACTAGAAGGAAAGAAAAAAGCACACTGAGACTCAGAGAAGCGCCAGGAGGCAGAGATACCAAGACGCGGTGCAGAGAGAACTGGCAACTGCGTGTGTGGCTGGCTTTCTCAAGTGGGTGGGAGACAAAAGCTCCCAACTGTACTGAACTCCTGTTCTGGGCAAGACTCTGGAGACACAGACTCATTCAGGGAGAAACTGGACTGTCTGGCAGTGGCCAGAACTTAAGGGCGGCTTTCTCTCAGAGGTACTTGCAGTGATTACCACTGGACACTGAGACTCAGGGGCCTATTAGTGCATGGGATGACAGGAAACCAATGCTGTCTACTCTGCCCTGAGTCTCCGCCCCATCCAAGGTGAACACAGAGGCTTTTGCAAATCTTGTATCATAAGCGTGTCTCCAGCACAGATGTTTTCCCAGCATAGACACAGCTGATCCTCACATCCAATTGGCCTGGAGGTCAATTCCTTCCGTGATACCAACAACAATCAAGACTTAACTACAACAATGCTGTACACAGAGCCCACAAAAGGGGGCACCAAGAGTGTCCACCTCAGGTAACTGGGGAGGCTGAGTCACTGGGCCATATAGGACACCTAGCACACAAAGCCACTCTATCAACTCAGGTAATCAGCAAAAATGTGGAGACAAAGAAACAGATCACAAATGAAAGAAATGGAGGAAAACAAATGACTGGATATAGAGTTCAAAACCAGGTTATGAGGTTTTTCAAGAATTTTCTAGAAAAGGCCAATAAATTTAGTGATACCTGGAGAATATGAAAAAGCACCAACTAGAAATTAAGCATACACTGATTGAAATAAAAAATATATTATACAAAGATCTAACAGCAGATTAGAGGATCACAAGAATCAAGTCAAAGAAGCAAATACAAAGAAACAAGAAACACTTAACCGGGAAAGCAAAAAGAAAAAAGAATCCAAAAATTTGAAGATAGTGTAAGGAGCTTCTGGGACAACTTCAAGCATACCAACATCAGAATTATGGTGGTTCCAAAAGAAGATAGTTAGCAAGATACTAAAAAAAACATTTGAAGAAATAATGACATAAAACTTCCCCTTCTTGGTGAAAGAAATAGAATTACAAGTCCAGGAAGTGCAGAGAACCCCAAACAAGAGAAATCCAAAAAGGATTCCACCAAGACACATCATAATTAAAATGCCAAGAGCAAAAGACAAAGAGAGAATATTAAAAACAGCAATAGAAAACCAGTTAATTAACTACAAGGGAGCACCCATACAATTGTCAGCTGATTTCTCAACAGAAACTATGCAGGCCAGAAGGGAGTGGCAATAAATATTCAAAGTGATGAATAGCAAGAACCTACAACCAAGATTACTCTATCCAGCAAAGCTATCATTCAGAATTGAAGGTCAGATAAAGAGCTTCACAGATAAGAAAAAGTTAAAGGAATTCATCACCACCAAGCCAGTATTATATGATATGCTGAAAGGTATATCATATATACCTTTTTCTTAAAGGTTTCTTTAAGAAGACAAGAAGAAGAAAAAGGTAAAGAAAAAAATTATGAACAGCAAATACATATGTATCAACAAGTGAATCTAAAAATCAAGTGAATAAAAAAATCTGATGAACCAAAAACTTGGTGAATATAATAAAATCAGGGGCATAGAAAGGGAGTGGACTGACAATTCTTAGTGGGAAAGGGGTATGGTGGGTGCCGGAGGAGACTGAACAGAAACTGTACACCTATGGATGAGGAAAGTGGGTGGGGGGAAGGGTAAGAGCAAAGGGTCGGGTGGGAACTGAGTGGAGTGAAGATATGTGGGAAAAAAGAGGAATAATTGCAATAATCTGAACAATAAAGATTTATTAAATTGAAAAAATTAATGAAGAGAGTTTAAGGGACAGCTGGATAACATCAAACATACTAACAGTTGCATTATAGGGGTTCCAGATGAAGAAGGGAGGTAGAAAGGGACAAAAAGAACCTACTCAAAAAAATATGCCTAACCTAACAACGGAAACAGACATCCAAGTATAGGAAGCACAGAGACCTAAACAAGAAGATGCACACCAAGTGATGTTAAAATTAAACTAAAAGTTAAATACAAAGGGAAATCTAAAAGCATCAAGAAAAAAAACCAATAATATATTATATACAAAGAAATCCACATAAGATTATCCCCTGAGGAATCCCAGTCTGTGAGGGGGGGCAGGCTGGGCTTAGGGACACCCCCGCCCCTAAGTATATAATAATAAGCTAAGAATTCATACACACACACACACACACACACACACACACACACACACTCACACAAAGATGTAAAATATGGCAGTAGGAACAAAACCTGGATTACAGATGTATAAATGTAATGCTTTTAGAATGTGTTTAAACTTAGGTGACCAAAAATAAAAATAAACTTTATATAAACAGGAAGTCATAAATTTGAAGATAACCAAAAAACTATAATAGACATACAAAAAAATAAAGAGAAAGAAATCCAAACAAAAATAAAGAAAGCCATTAAAGTAAGAGAACACAAGAAGAAAGGATCAGAAAAGAACTACAAAAAACAACCATAAGGCAATTAACATAATGACAATAGGCATATCCCTAACCTAATATATAAAAAGCTAGGGGCCATCATGACCAAAACAACCGGACAGACAACTGAACAGCAAGCTGCAAATGACTGAACAGCAGGCTGAGTGGAGCTACCAGGCCAGCAGGGTGGGTGGCAGTTGGGGGCAACCAGACCAGTGGGGAGGGGCAAGTTGAGGGTTACCAGGCTGGCATGGCGGGGAGTAAGGGGTGATTAAGCTGGCAGGCAGGTGAGTAGTTAGGAGCCAGTGGTCCGGATTTGATCGGGATTTATGACTGCTGGTTTAGGCCAGGGATCAAAACGGCTATCAGACATCACCCAAGAGGTCATGGATTTGAGAAGGTTCAGGCTGGGCTATGGGGACCCCCCCCCCACCATGCACAAATTTTATCCATTGAACCTCTAGTCAATTATAACTTTAAATGTAAATGGATATAATGTTCCAACCAAAAGTCTTTGGTGTTGTTGAATGGATTCAAAAAATAAGACCCATTCATAAGCTGCCTATAAGAGATCACTCCAGACATAAAGACATAAACTGACTTTAAGTGAAGAAAGAGAAAAATATATTAAATAAAAATGAAAACAAAAAGAAAGTTGGGGTAGAAATATTCATATCAGACAAAATATACTTTAAAACAAAGACTGTAGCAAAGCACAAAGAACATTACATAATGAAAGTTAGACGGAGCCAGAATTGTTAAACAATCTAAGGACTAGCTGTCTCTTATACATGAAAATGTACAGCAAAGTCCTTTCTTTCAAGACATTTTACCTTTAGCAGTAGATATAAAATGTTGCTAGCCTAACGCTCAACAGGTGCTTCACTACTCACTCTGTGTCCCAACACATGCTTTCTGGCAATGTTGATTTTGGGCAGAGTACACATGCGGTCATGAAATTAGCAAAAGCTATTTGTCCCGAAAGGAGCGGCAGCCCCGCTCCTTTCTGCCTCCCTTCCGCGCGTGTCCCCGAGGCCGCCCACCCCGTGGAGCCGCCCGACCATGTCCAACATGGAGAAGCACCTGTTCAACCTCAAGTTCGCGGCCAAGGAACTGAGCAGAAGCGCCAAGAAATGCGACAAAGAGGAGAAGAACCAAAAAGGCCAAAATCAAAAAGGCTATTCAGAAGGGCAACATGGAAGTGGGGAAGATCCGCGGGTCGATGCGGTGGCCGCCAGGGTCAGATGGCCGTGACAATGGGCAAGGTGACCAAGTCCACGGTCGGGGTAGTGAAGTCGATGGATGCAAAGCTGAAGACCATGAACCTGGAGATGATCTCCGCTCTGTCTGACAAGTTCGAGCACCAGTTCTAGACGCTGGATGTCTAGATGGAGCAGATGGAAGACATGATGAGCAGCACGATGAAGCTGACCACTCCCCAGAGCCAAGTGGATATGCTGCTCCAGGAAATGGCAGGCGAGGCCCACCTGGACCTCAACATGGAGCTGTCGCAGGGCCAGACCGACTCTATGGGCATGAGCGTGGCCTCAGGGGAGCAGGATGAGCTGTCCCAGAGGATGGCCCGCCGGCGAGACCAAGTGTAACACCCGGGCGCCCTCGGAGGCTTCCTGGCTGTGGCCCCTTCTGAAATGTCTTAGGGAGAGATCACACACTACATAACCTTGGAATATGCCAGAATGCTGAAACGCTCCTAAGATGCTTCTGCCTTTGGGTTTACGGTGCACTCCCGGTACATTAAGAAGTTCCAGGCTTTCTCTGCCCTTAACTGGATTCTAAAGTTCTGTATATCTTGTGATAATGTGTATTTTTATAGCTGCCTTTTAACAGGACTAGCTAATTTGGTGTATATGAGTCTTCCTCAAAAGTTTATCAAATCTCTAGTTCCTGTGTATTCAGTTTTCTGCCTGAACTATCAAAGTTGAAGTTTATTTTGAATTTAGTGAAATGGTGGATAATATATAAAATTGAAATGTGGTACATGAAAAGAAAATGATTGATTGCAGGGTTATCAACACCTCATTCAACTTATTTAATGGACAGTGTCATTTTTGGGTATCCTTTGTTTTTGGCCATCAAAATGAGACTACAGTTGACTATTCATCTGTTTCATAACTTATATTGAAATTATTGTTTACATGCTGTAAAATTTTTTAAAATGTATAAGGTTTAACATATGACAGTTTCTTTCAAATGAACTTCTCTAACATTTCTAGTTATTTTCCTATCTCACCACTTTAATTACATTTCTTAAAAATGTTAATTAGCATGGCAGCCACATTACTCACTCCCACGTTGCCAAAGAACTGTTGATTGGTTTGAGAATATCCTGGGACTGTGTGTTTGTAGGTTTTGTTTTTATTTTAACAACCAAAAATAGAGTTAAAATTAGAACAGCATTTTAAGTTCAAGTTATTTGCATTTATTATGTTGCTCTTCAAACAAGTCTTTAAAAAGTTTGGAAATGTAAGTTGGAATGTTTTACTTAGCCATGTAGCCAGAATGAAGTCGGGAAGGAAGAAAAGATGCAGGATGGGATAGCATGCTTGACCCTCTGAGGCTGGGACTCCCCTGTGCTGCCTTCCATCCTTCTGAAATAGCAGGGTGTATTTTCTAGCTGAAAAAGAAATCCTGTAGCCAAAATTTTCTTAGACTCAAAACTTGAAGAACACCAGTTTGCTTTTGCCTTGACAAGTCTGTTAACCTAACTTGAATACTTATGGATATTTTAAATTCCTCCTTTCCTTCCAAGGAAGATTTCTCCATTAAGAGAATACCAGTGTTTCAGAAAGTAACCAAAGGGCCTCTCCCAGACCCTTTGAAGGATTCACTGTTATGACGTGTTTTCCACTGTAACTGAGTGGGTTTAAAGGGAGAAAAAAAGCACATATACATAGATGAGAACTGCCCCTTAAATTTAAGGGTCTTTATATCTGACTGGTTGTTGTTCTGAAGTCTTTTCTAAGGGACATCTGTCCATTGTCAGCCCCACATGTTTGTAGAACTTCCTCCTTATGATGTGTCCTCTCATCCACATGGTTGCACAGAAGCAACTATGTGAGTACAGCTTGACTTGTAACCCCTCTTTAGACTGGAACAAATAATTAAAACTTTGAAAAGAGCCTAGTGTTGAGTCCTTTGGTAAATTGAAGACTCTTGTGTAATAGAAATATTCCCAACAATATTCATATATTTTGTGAGATTATACAATGCTTGAATAAGCTTGAACTTTCTTTAAAAATGTTCATTTTCAACTATATGGATGTACATTTTTAGGAACCATAGTTATTATTTCAAAAGCATATTAGGCTCATGAATTTCTTTATTTTTGCAGTTGATGAAATATTGAAGTGTAAACCACAGAAGTTTATCAAATAAATAATCTTAAACCATACACACACACAAAAAGCAGCTAATTATCCCATATAGGGCTTGATCTATGATCCTGGCTGACTTATTAGCACCCTACATTTAATAACTGAACAAAACAGGCAGAGAAAATTAATTATCAATCAAACAAACAGCACATGATTAAATTGCAACACATGTCAACCTCTCAGTCAGAAGTTTTGCAAAGAAAGATAAAACATAATATCTGTCCTTTCAATCAATTGGGAGAAATTCATTACAGGTACATAACAACAGGAACTTAAAATCAGCAACAACAATAATAAAAATAACTAAGACAACTGATTACAGAAGACAGTGCTGAAAAAGTTGGAGAAAAAATTATTAACCTATATATAATTGTGAGTTCTTAAATTTTATGAGGAAAGATGTGTCATGAGTAATTTGTGGTTTTTCAGAAGGCTAGTGTTGCAATGGCTTATAACTTGGGCTGCAATGTGGGCAATAATTTGAAGTGAATGCAGCAACTCAGAGATGTACTGACAAGAAAATAATGATAATTTAAGAAGCATTACTAAGAAAGAATCAACCACATGAGAAAGAAAATAATATCTAAGTAGATGGTAAGAAAGAGGTTTATAGGTTTTTAAAAGTGCCTGGTTGGATTCAGAGGAAAAAATAAAGAAGTTGTTAAGTTTTAGCTTTGGAAAGAATAGTCAATAACAATTGAATTTTAAATTCCAATTAAAAAAATAATAAGAACCTTTAATAAGAAGAAAAAAATATGGATTGAAAATAGCAGTGTAACCTACAAATTATGAGTTTGGGAGTAACAATAAAATATTCTAGTTTAGTAGGTTATTAAGCACATGAAAAAAAAGCATAGTAGGGAAGGCACGCTTGTAGATGTACATTCGTTTTCCATTTACCTATCAAATTAAATATCATAAATATTACATGAAAGGCAAGTTTTATAAATATTTATGTAATAAAATGTATGGGAAATATTAAGAGAGCAAAAGACCTGCAACTCTTTTAGGGACCTACTATACCCATAATAACATATTGGAAATGACAGTAGAAGAAAAAAAATTCACAAATATCTCAGTTACTATAACTGCCAAATTTCTAAAATAAAAGTTATTAAATTTAGCAATTATTTAAAATATAATTACAGCATTGTGATAGAAATGTATATATGTATTTTCAAGAAGTAAAGATGATTTATATTAGAAAACTTGTTTAATATCATCTACCATATTACAAAATGAAAAAATCCTCATTCATATATCAATAAATACAGAAAAACACCCTGTATTATCCAACACATGCATATTATTAAGTAACTATTTAACCTAATAAACAATAACTAGCAAAATCTCATAACAAATATTATATTTAATAGTGACAATCTTATCTAATAAAAGAGTAATATGCAAATTGACCATACCTCCACTACATCCACTAGTCATTCCCACAAGCCCCGCCCACCAGCCAATCAGAGCAAGTATGCAAATTACCCCAACCAAGATGGCTGGGCCACAGAGAACAGGAGAGAGGCTTGGGTTTCCCAAGCAATGGAAGAAGCCAAGCTTTCTGCCTGCTCTAGCCAGCCTAAGCTTCCACTCCAGACTACAAAGATTCAATTGTAGAAGGTAAATAAGTTCCAGATACCAGGGCCTCTTCTTGGGTCACCAGGGCATGTGGCCAACCTGAAAACCACCACAGATCCCTCACCCAGGCTGACCCACACCCCAAGGGAACCTTCGCCCTGATCTGGACACCCTGCAGGGAAAACCAGCTGGCCCCCACCCATACACCAGGCCTCTATCCTATCTAATAAAAGAGTAATATGCAGGTTGACCATTACTACAACACACAATAGCTGCCCCCATGTGGTCAAAGATGGCTGTCCCTATGTGGACACAAGATGGCCACCATAAGATGGCCAGCAGGGGAGGACAGTTGGGAGGCACCAGGCCTGCAAGGGAGGGCAGTTGGAGGCAATCAACCCTGCAGGGGAGGGCAGTTAGGGGTGACCAGGCGGGCAGAGGAGGAAAGTTGGGGGCAAACAAGCTCATAGGGGAGCAGTTATACATCAATCAGGCTGGTATGGGAGTGGTTAGAGGGTGATCAGGTTGTCAGCAGAAGTGGTTAGGGGCAATCAGGAAGGCAGTCAGGTGAGCAATTGGGAGCCAGCAGCCCTGGATTGTGAGAAGGATGTCCCAGATTGGAGAGGGTACAGGCTGGGCTGAGGGACACCACCATCCCTTCCCCCCATGCACAAATTTTGTTCACTGGGCCTCTAGTTTAGATATAATTTCACAATCAGAAAAAGGCACAGGTGCCTCCTGTATTCTCTTTAATTTGATATTTGAATTGGAATCCCATCCAATGCAAAAAATCAAGAAAAAAAGTGAAATATAAAAATCAACATTAAAAAACTAAATTGCACTTATTTACTTAGGAAGTGAATAGATGAAGTAACCTGACTTATATCCAGGCCTACAATTTACTTATTTATTATATCATTTATATGAACACCTACCATATAGTAGGCACATACTAAATATATTTTGAATTAATTAATTAATTAATTAATGAAATCTATAATCAAATATTAGAACCCATAAGAATTTTTGTTGGACAAAAAATCAAGAGAATTCTTACATGCCAACAATAGCCCTAAAAAAATATATAATTAAAATCAACCATAACAAAAAAATACATACGAACTATTCAGTACAAATATTTTAAAAGTTATTTGGCCCAGCCAGGTGTGGCTCAGTTGTTGAAAGTCGACCTTGGAACAAATAGGTCACTGGTTTGATTCCCAGTTAGGGCATATGCCCAGGTTGAGGACTCAATCCCCAGTGTGGGGTGTGCAGGAGGTGGCCAATCAATGATTTTTCTCTCGTCATTGTTGTTTCTGTCTCTCTCTCTCCCTCTCCCTTCCTCTCTGAAATAAAAATATATTTTTAAAAAAGAGCAACTGGACTTAAAATTCTTTTAAAAAAAAGAAAACTTTTCAAAAAGCTATTTGAACAAAGATTATTTATTGAAGAACACAAAATAAAACTTTGCCGAAACCGGTTTGGCTCAGTGGTAGAGCGTCGGTCTGCGAACTGAAAGGTCCCAGGTTCGATTCCAGTCAAGGGCATGTACATTGGTTGTGGGCACATCCCCAGTAGAGGGTGTGCAGGAGGCAGCTGCTCAATGTTTCTCTCTCATCAACGTT